GGGAGCCAAGCGGGCCCTGGGGGTGGCGGCGCGTGTCCCGGGAGCGGCGGGGCGGCGGAGCCGGGTAGGGATTGTGCGAGAAGACACCTATGTTCCTAGTCTGAGCGCGGCGCCTCGGGCGCGCTGCGTGGAGCCCAAGTCGCGAAAGGCCTTGGGCGCTTTGCTAGCTGAGCAGCCCCCGCCCCGGCGCAAGTAGGAAGGGCCGTTAAGGGGAAGCTCTTCTTGGGCATCTCCTGCTGGGCTGGGCTCGGTGTCCCCCGCAGACTGTGCGGGCTCTAACCTTCCTATGTTAGCTCTCTTTTTAAACTTATGTGCAGCAGGGCGTGGTAGAGAAAGCAGTAAGCTTTTCTACAACATGCTCATGTGTTTGGTGAAGGAAAAAAGGAAAAAAAAGCCTTAGACTAGGTCAGCAGAAGGCTGGCAGGTAACACGCAAGCTTGTTCTGAAGAAATTTTTTTTTTTTTTTTTTACAATCATTTTAAAAGCTGGAGAAATAGTTTTTAGGCTATCTAAAGCTGGGGAAATAGTCTTCCTAGGGAACAGCTGCTCTTCTTTCTTTAGCCTGTTTGGACTCATGCAGTGAAATAAGGCAGCTTTTCAGGCTAGTTGAACTGCTTTACCAAATCACATGAAAACTGCTTCAGTCTATAGTGCTAAATAAGGAACTCTGAACAGGTTCAGCATAGGCCGAAGAAGCTAGAGAGCTTGAGAGAGCTAATTGGAAGGCTATGCTTTATGCATAAGGTCCTCTCTTTATTTTTATTTATTTTTTTCCCCCTCTAGGATAGATTCAGCTGCATGGTTGAGAAATTCTTGGAAGCAAAGAGGGGGAGACCAGGACTACCATTATGTCTGCAGCTAAAGAAGAGGATCTCTGCAGTCATGTGAAGGTGGTGGTCCGCGTCCGTCCAGAGTCCCAGAAGGAAAGAGATGGCAACTTTAGCAAAGTGGTTCATGTTGTAGACCAGAATCTATTGGTCTTTGATCCAAAGGAGGAGGAAGTCAGTTTCTTTCACGGAAAAAGACTAGCCCATAGGGATATCAGTAAAAGAAAAAAGAAAGATCTTAAGTTTGTGTTCGATGCAGTTTTTGCTGAAAGCTCATCTCAGTTAGAGGTTTTTGAACATACTACCAAAAGTGTCCTGGATGGCTTCTTAAATGGATATAACTGCACAGGTAACTTTTTCTCTCTATTTGTCTCTCTTCCCTTTGAAAGACTTGCATTTAAAAAGAATATTTTAATGTATCCAAAGGGGAGGCTTTTTTTTTTTATCCTATATATACTTGAATAGCTATATTCCATTTTGAAAATGAGTTCATAGTTAAGATAGAGTGTATAACTTTATCAAAAATACAGTGTATAGTTGATACAAATGCTTAAGAAATTATTCAACTAGAAGTTGAATTCTGGTAAGAATTCTAGAAGAAGATTCTGGTAACTTCTTTTTTTTATGAGCTTTGCTCTTTAAGAGCTTGTTGTTTAATTTGCACATGGAATATGGTGAGGAAATGCAATACCTGCCTGCAAAAAACTGATGGCTTAGGGTTATGAGAGTAAAGGAACAATTCTTTCTTTTTGTGTAAATTGAATGAGTTTTAAGCTGGAAATTTGAGCATAAAGGTGATTCTGGAATAGCTTTCTGATTATGGTATTAAAGGGAAATGCATTAAGAAACTTGATCATCTTATGAAGCAGCTATGCAATGTGGTAGAGGTATGAGAATGTCTGTTTTTAAATTTTGTATTCCTCGTTGGCTTACTGGTATAATAGCATATGTTCTCATTTTTTAATGAAAACACAGTGCTTGCATATGGTGCAACAGGAGCTGGAAAGACTCATACAATGCTAGGCTCCCCACAAGATCCTGGAGTGATGTACTTAACCATGATGGCACTTTATAACTGCATGGATCAAATAAAAGAAGATAAAATATGTAATATTGCTGTTTCTTATTTAGAGGTAAGCCAGTTCCTGTGTTTAGTGTGGGTTTTTTTGTTTGTTTGTTTTTCTTCTAAGCATATTCTTAAACAGAAGCAAGCTTTCTTTCTGTCTCTCCCCCAGTTACTTCTTCGGGAACTACTTGAAAGGAACAGAACTGTGCTCTGCAAGTTTAACTCTATTTAGACACCTGTTACTAACATACAGTAGGGTGCTCCAAAAAGATAGTTTCTTATGTATTTTTTTTTATTATTAAACAATCATGTTTTGCTAATCAGTTATATCCTACTGAATATCGGTTAGTGCGTACAAAGAAATATCCTATTTTGGGACTTAGCAACAAAAGCATGTAGATATTCTGAAATTCCGCAATTCTACATCTGCTTTCTTTTAAATTAAACTTATTTTTCAAGTTTTCATGTTAGTACAATTGCACTTTAGATTTGAAAAGCAGAGCAGTTGAATTGTCATGCCAAGGTTAGTTGTCTGCAAATATTTTTTTCATTCTTTGTCTGCCTTTCTCCTTTTCATTTATCTTTTCGCATCAAAGTTCTGCTTTTGCATGCAAATGTGTTGCTGTCATACAGAAGTAGCAAAAATAAATTGTAGTTAACATTCAGCTCCTACTAAGTCGTAGTGGAGGCTTTTATTGGAAATGGGAAAGATGATGGGAAAGAGGGATGAGGAAAAGGTATGTTTTGCTCTATGATATTTCATTTCTGGACTTCAAATACACTTGAAATGTCCTAGTTAAAAATATAAGCAGAAGTGTATCTGGACTAAGAAACTTTACCTTAGTATGTATAATGAAGCAAATGAATATTCACACTTGCTCCAGAAATTAATCATTTGTATTTATTAGAAATAATGACTCTGATTTTGATGCCTAAAATGTATCTGCACAGTGAATAAATAGAATATTTTCTCAAAATCAGAGAAGGAAACCCATTTGACCCATTACACAAAATTAATTTTTTATTTTATCTTAAATAAGTGCAAAAGCATAATTATTTATGTTTAGCTAAGTTTATGCTGTTGAATGTAGTAAAATGTTTTTTCTTACTACTGTGACTTTGTTTTTGAAGGTCTACAATGAACAGATTCGTGATCTGCTGGTAAACTCAGGACCTCTGGCTGTTCGTGAAGATGCTCAGAAAGGGGTGGTAGTTCAAGGGCTAACGTTGCACCAGGTATGGAAACGGACTTTGCATAGCAAATAATAATTTCCTAGTGGTCTTTCTTGTGGAAGTAATCACCAGTATGCAAGTAACTTAGAAGCTTAATGCATTCACTATTCGGAAGGAAATTGTACAAAAACTTTGCTATTCAAATGTGCATATTTATAAAAGCATCCAGCCCTTTTATCCAAAGGAAACTGTTGATTTGATGCTTGTCTTCAGGATTTGGAAGATTACTTTTTGACTAACACATCTTAGGGCTTCTTAAGAAATCTTCCTGCAGTTCCATTGAGTTCAATACCTTTACAAATAGATGTCTTACCTGCATCTCAGTCGTTTATTTGTATATATTTTAGGTGGTTATAGCTGGAAAGCTTCCTTTAAAGTGAATTTTCCGGGCTAGCATAGCAATTCCATGGCAAAGTTGATGAAATAATTCAGTTTTCAAATCCAGAAACCATAGTCTTTCAAGAACCTGACTTTCTCGCAGCCTCCTAGTACGTGTTATATGCTACATAGATTTCAACTTCTGTGCACAAGGTCTAATGATTCTACAAGCTGGAGTTTGAATCAGTCTCTGAACACAATACTTTGCAAAGCCTGGGTCTAGGGGAGGTGAAAAAAAATGGGTATTACTTAATGCACTCTGTGCTTGTAATTGCATCCAATGTAAATACTATAATGCTTCATACCAAAAAATTAAGAAAAGGCATTCTTTAGACCTCCTGGAACTGTGGAGGAGGAGAACCTTTGTGGAAGATTTAGGAAAAAAAAAAAAAAAAAAAAAGAGAGAGAGAGAGAACGCTTTTTTTTTTAATTTGTAATTTGATGCCTTTAAGTTCTTTCTCTTTGGACCTTATTGTCTTTTTCGCTAAGCTGATTTTAAGTGCCTCTGTTCCAAAATAGAAACTTTCTTCCTTATGTATTTTAGAATCAGTATGAAATCTGCTCTGTTTAATGAATACTTAAATGCTTTTTTTCTTTTATTTTTTCCTTCCTCCACCATAAAGCCTAAATCTGCAGAGGAAATCCTTCAAATGCTGGATTATGGGAATAAGAATCGAACTCAACATCCCACAGATATAAATGCTTCTTCTTCCCGGTCCCATGCTGTCTTTCAGGTAAAATGACAGCAGATGTGGTCACTTTTGTGAGTTTTAGTTGTTGTCTGATCTTTGATGCTGTCAAAAGTTGGGTGGTCTTTTTGCTTTTTTTATTTTTTTTTTTTTTTTTGAGGGGGGGAGTCTCTAAATTTTATTTGAATGGGAGGAGGTTGTTCTTTGTGTGTTATTGTTTGTGACTGTGGTTGCATTCATGACAAGGTGAAATCAATGAACATAACTTCTTTAGATTGAAAGATTTTGTTTTATGAAATTATAGTTTTGAACTTATAATGTACTTCTATAAACCTAAAGTTCCTTTTGTTTTACAGATCATTCAGCAGTTTTCTGCAAAAATGTTGTATGGGCTACAATTGCACATCTATATGTAAACTGAGTACCTCAAGTGGTACTTTGCTGGTGTGTTTATTCTGATTAATGCTGAATTTCATGCTCAAGTGATTTGTTAATATATGAGCACCATCAGTGTTAAAACGCACTGTAAAAAAATCTCTGGAAATTTGAGACTTCTCCAGAGATTATTGCTGTTTACAAACTGTCACTGTATCTATCTGATTCCCATTAAATACCACCTTTGGTATTTAAAAAAGTAAAAATTGGTTCTGTTATCTAAAATTTCATTATCCATTTGCTAGTACATACTATAAGCACACTATTTGTTATTTGTATGCTGCTATTTTGAATTGCAAAATATTTTTTTTAAAAAAAAAAAAAGCTCAATTACTTCTGTTCGACAGTTATTGACTCTGTTCACAGACATGGGCAATGCTTAATAATTCTACCCAAAGTTAATATTTTGACCTAGAAAACAGTAATGTGACTAAATAAGTACTTAATATCGTTCAAGCCGATAGCAAGAAAAAACAAATAATGCACAACGCACTTTATATAAAAATATACATGGGAACAAAAATCATTCCATTTTGTTTTGTCTTTCTTACGCCAGACTTGTATTTGAAACTTGAATTTTCTTCCATTTCCTCTGTATTCTTGTCCCGATCTGTATCAGCTGTTAGAGCATCCTTGCTAGATGTTTAAGGCCAAGACTCATGCAGAGTTATTCAGTTTGAGAGCCTTGTGTTGTGTGACACCTTTAAATAAGGTGCAAAACAGTGGTGCAGTGATATGGAATGAGATCAGCACAAGAAAGAGAGGAAAAAGAAATCAATCCTGTTCACTTGCTGAACTCTCTTACTCATCATCCTCATCCTGGCAGCAGAAAGCTCTCGGTTACTTTATCTGGCAGATCTGTCTCTCTTGATTTTGTTCATGAAAGTGTCAAGAAATTAGATGGGATGGACACTGTTTAATATCTTTAAAAAAAAACAAATATGTGCATAGGGATGCTGGAGAGTTCATCATCTTCAGCCTGTGTTATATATTTAATCTTGCAAGTTGATCTTAGTGTAAATATATTTACCTATTAGAAAACTGTTTAATCACTAAATAAAATATATCATAAAAGTAATTATTTTTATGGAAATTTTAGTTGAATGTGACCAAATTTTTCATTAGCATATTTTTTTTTGACTTGAAATGATGAATGAGAGTCATATTTACACTATTCTAACTATCCCCAGTGTAGAGAGAGCAAAAACGAGCCACATGTGAATGCTTAAAGGAGAAAGGGTTGTTTCTTTCTAGTGATTGTAAGCAAAAAAAAAAACTGAGTTTTGTTGTATTGACATCATATGAATAGCAAATATCTTGTGTTATATATAATGTATATTCAGGAAGCATCTTATTTGCAATGCATTGAACTAAACCAAACTGGTATGTTTTGGTTTTGCGCATGTCCTTCAGATTATGTTCTGAAAGGAACAGTTTTTTTTTAATATGTGCTTTAAACTGGTTTGATTCTTTAAATCACTAATGCATTAGAAAGCAGCAACAGCAATCTTTTGATTGTTTGCAGAATATAATTAAAGTGTCTGACTTGGAAAAAACAGGGAGAAGTTGCTTATACAATTTGGTGATATATTGATGACCATTGATGTCATGGTGATATATTGATGACCATTGATATATCACCATTGATGGTGATATATTCCCTCCTGCTGCATAGACACAAGTTAGCCCAATTAAGACACACCATTAATGTTAAACACACAATTCTAAACCAGTTAAGTGATTTTTATCTTTGAGCTTGAGATGACTGATGATGTTAACAGTTTTATCCCTCCTGGATTAATCTCTGGGGTCCTTGGTTTCTCTGTGCCACTGTAATGCTCAGCAGAGAAGCACTGGTTGCATGAAGTGAACTGTCCATCCCTCAGTTAAATAGCATGCCTAGCTGAAACTTGATCACTATAGACAAATGATTTGGTACTAGAACTTCCTTAGGAAGGAAAAGACTAGGTGTAAAGATTAGGTTTTGGCATGTCACAGCTCAAAGAAGCGTGTTCTGCTTTGTACTGAAGAGTCTTCTCTAATACACAGTTAATTCATGCTGTCAGGCTGGTTCTGGTTGAAGATGGTGTCAGCAGATTACTGTAGTCAAAATTTTCTTTAGCATTCTCTGCAATATTCCTAATCCTTTTAGTCCTTGCAATGAGGTAATTCTGACTGGGTTTTTATTTGATCTTTGAGATAGTCTGTCAATCAAAATATTTAATTGCTTTCTCTTAAATGCGTTTTTCTGTTAAGTGCATAAATTACCAAAGATTCAAGGTTCCTTCTGTCAGAAAAATTGAATGTTTTCCTTGACTCTGTCCTATATAAATGCTTACTAATATGATGTGTTGTCAAAGGAAAGTCAGGGAAGCCTTTGGAATGCTACTGCTTGAAATGAATGTGCTGTTTTCACTCTTTAACTTTTTTGGGGGAGAGAGGAAGTTCTTACTTATAAGAAAGTGTGTGTAAGTAAATGTTTGCTATTAGATATATTGAAGTGCCATGTATAAATTTAATAATTCATTTCCAATTCATTGGACCAGTCTAAGTTTAGCAGATGCCTGGAGAGTTAAGAATGTAGTAACTACTAGTATGTTACTTATTACTACTGCTATTTGGGTTGAGACAAGTCGACTTCTTACAAGACATGAATGACTTAGTAGCAGCATGTCTAAGTAGTGTGAATTACTTTGCAACCTGAGCTAAATGATATGCCTTTGATGTCCTCATCTCCAGAGTCAGGTTTGTTTGGCTTTTTCTTTTCGGCTCAGACTTTTTTGCCTCTGTTCAGGGTATTTTTGTATTTGTTTGCTTTTATTAGATAATACTGTACCAATATACCCACTGGTGTTTATAGAATATCATTTCATAAGACTGCACAGTCTGCTGATATTTTAACAGTTGAAATGGTTCAAACTATGCAAATGCTTAGCCACGCAGTTTGGAAAAGTGGGGTCATAGGTATTTTTTCTGCTTGGGGAACCTCTAAAGACTGTTGGCATCTGTAAGAACTAACTGTGAAGTGCACAATATTACAGGTAATTGCTTATGTCAGTTCATAAGCCATCTATTTACATAACTCATGTATCTGTAACATTGTAAAAAAAACATGTCTTGGTTACTTATCCCTTACTGCCTCTTTGGTTCCACAGATACAATTGAGTGGAGTTCCCTACAGCTGTGTTGGTTCCTTGCTTTGCTCTGTGGGGTTTTTAGTTTGTCTGTTTTTGGAGGAGGAGTCTCTACATTTTCCCTTACTCTAAAGGTGACTCAGGAAGCAGCAAAGTCTTAGCCAGCCCAGATATTTTGAGGAATATTAGAGTTGCAATTTTGCCTTATTGTACCATCTGTCTTGGATTTGAAGGCTCTATATAGGTCAGGCAATTACTGCATCTGAAAGTAAAATTCTGAATTGCCACTCTGTTAAGTGTTCTGCTGATGAGTAAAGAAATAGAAAAGATTCCCCTTTGGGGGCACTTCCTGTATCTTTTGAACTTATTACAGAAGCCTGGATCATACAAAATAGTCTGGCTGTCACACCATCTTTTCTTATTATAGTTACGGTTGTTACTGGGTTGTGGCAGAATACTACTAGCTTGAGATAGTTGCTGTACTAAGGTAAATGCAGGGAACATGTGGACTTTGTTTTCTGTACTTGGCATACAGACTTCACTAGAAATAGTGTAAGAGAAAATTTCTTGGCTCATTTGATATAGAAATAGTTTGGTGTGTCATAAGGCTCTTGTTTTCACTAACCGGCGTAATATTGTCCATCTTTTTGTATTACACTTTGTGAAGCCTTCTTGTAGACTACCTTACTAGTGCGACAACTGTTTCCTAATTCTCTGTCAGAAACACTTAGCCTTGCAAGTGGCCAGATGCTCAACAGAGTGAAGGGGAGATGCAAAGAGAATGATTAAAATGTAAATGCTAAGTAAACGTAAGGATAACTAATTCTTCTTGTTGATTCTATGATTAAGTGTGGTCTGCTTCCTCAGAAAGCTGGCTTAAGGATACCTTCACTGGCAGAAGGAAGCAGAAAAGCTTTTTTTCCTCCTAGATCTCCTGTACCGTGAAACTTCAGGAAAGAAAGAACAAGTGAAAACAAATGGTGACAGGAGTCTCTGCTTTCTAGGAGAGTCTGGCATAGTATGTGATTTCACAGCAGTAAATAAGTGTTGGGCTCTACCAATAGCAGTTGCAGATAATGAATTGCTGCAAGTCCAGCCTTTTCCTATGGCTATCTTAAATTCTTGTATTTATATATATATAAGGCATACTGTAAATGATACCTTTAAAAAAAAAAAAGAATTAACTTTATTACTCAAAACCATAGTAGTGCAATATACTTTCCTCTACATCCCAAATATTTCTTGAAGCAGATGCATTTAAGAGGTAGGTGTGAGAAATGCTCTTGTACATCTCTTTTGGCCATCTTCTCTTCTGTCATTAGATATGCACTAAAATCCATATCTAATGCTTAGATTCCAACACAGAATTTTGATACGGCAAGATTAACCTCTTGCTTAGAATAAGAGGAGAATGGTTAGTGGTTATTTCTAATTCTTTCTCTCTCTCCTTTTTTGTGCTTGCAGATTTATTTAAGGCAGCAAGATAAAACAGCTAGTATAAGTCAAAACGTCCGCATTGCCAAGATGTCGCTTATTGATCTGGCAGGATCTGAACGTGCCAGTGCTACAAATGCCAAGGGGGCTCGTTTCAGAGAAGGGACAAATATTAACCGCTCCTTGCTAGCTCTTGGAAACGTCATTAATGCCTTGGCAGATCCAAAGGTATGTAGTGTTTTCCCATGCACTCTCCACTGTGTAATCATTTTAAACTTATTTTTTTAAACAGTAAATATTAAATGCGGTGCTATTTCTTACAACTTGTCTCCTATAATATCTTCAGAATGTATGCTGAGGATATTCTTATGGATATGTTAACATAATGATAAACATTAGGAAATGTTTATCAGGTTTTCTCTTTAAAATTACCAAGCCTCTGTACACTTTCATTGTGAAAGTTGTGGAATAAATTAATCATTGTTGAATCATCTGATGTACCTTAATGTTTGCTACAGTAGAACAGGTGCAATGTCAGGGTCTATATTACCTATCTATTCTCTTCTGAAATATAGCCATGTTAAAGCCTGAAGTCCAGGAGATTTCCCCTTGAATAAGAGGAATTACTTGGTATTTTTCACATAATCATTTATCCTTATGGATTGCCACCATTTTCTCCAAGGCAGCTAAATGAATCTTGGGAAATGGCTCTCAAAAAGAGTGTGCAGCTATCTTAGAATCATATTAAAGATAAATGCAACTATTTTATCCCCACCACCACCTTTTCCAAAATCAGGCATATCTAGAGAGGTCTGCATAAATAAATAGCAAAAAGCAACAAGTACACAGAAGTCTTGTCAGAAGCTGTGTTGCCTCTAATCTTAGAGGAGGAGGAATTTGTAGGACACCTACGCATACGAGAAGTTTGCACTGTTAAATATTTTCTAAGAAATGGCATTTGCAATCAACAAATTTACTGTTGGCATTTTAAGATGGCCTTTTGGGTCAGGTAAACATTTGCCAAACCCAATTTCCTATTTCTGACAATGCGAATAAGGAAGGCTTACAATCCCGGTCACACTGAAGTCTGTTCACTTTGTATTCTTCCTGGCATCTGAAAATCTTGTGTAAGAGATGTTCAAGGGTACAATCCCACCTAGTTTTTTTGTTATCCATCTATGGACTTGTCAGAGAAAGAGAAGAAATTTTTTAATCCTGCTTTTGAACTTGCTTGCGCTGTCTTTACAACCTGCCAAGGCAACAAGCTCCTAAAGTTAACTAGCTACTATGTAAAGAGCTACCTTCCTTACACTCGGATCTCCCACCAGTTTCACTGGTGAGAATTTGGTGAATGCATTTCTGTTGGGGGTTTTATCCAGTTGTTTCATATGAATTGTGTAAATCTAACATGTCAGATTCATTGCACACCTTTTTTCAGCAGTCTTTTGATTCTAGAAAGAAATGAAAAGCTCTGTAAGCGTTCTTTCAGAAGAAAGACTTGCATCTGTGTGATCTGTGAATTACGGAAATATTTTTATTAGTGTGAAAGAAGAGTAGCACAATAGCACAACTGAGGACCTGGTTACTTTTTATAACCTGTGGATCTCATGGCTCTACGTGACTTTAGCTTTGTTACATACTGTGTTTCACAGTTTTAAAACTGATAAGCTTCTACCATAGTAAAATTATACTGCTTTTCAGTGCATCCCCTAGTGCATTAACTCTGAGCTTTGGTATTTAATTATCATGTTGATAAGTATTTCTAAACAAAACTTTTTTTTTTTTAACTGATACTTCTGCATCAGGTATAGATAGAAGGAGGTATCATTTTGTCCTGCTTATGAGTTACCCTTGAAATTTCTCCTTTTGTGACTCAGCGATACCTGGCTTTTTGGTAGGTAGTTTGAAGGATCAGGAGTTTTGGCTTTCTCTGCTCTGCAAATAAGTGACTGCTCTGAGCAAAACAGCTGTAAGGCAAAAGTTATGGAATGGGAGGAAAATAACTGAGATTTTAGTTACTGTCTAGTTTGATTGTTTTTGACAGACAAGAACGTAAAATAAGGACACGGGAAGAAGAACACGCAAGATACTATATACAAATCTTCATCTTCGCTTTAGTTGTCATTTGAAGTTCTAATAGGGTAAATCAGTATTTTGCTGTTAGTAATCTTTCTATACTAGTAGTGTAAAATAGTATGGAATAGTGTAATAACACTGTAAATTGCAGGACATATTGCATTTGAAAATTGTGGCGAGTATTCTAGGACTACTTAGGATGAATAGTCCATCCGTCTAGATCAAACTCTAATCTAGAAATGAATTTCTGTTGCGTTCATAAAGTTTGTCATTGTGTTTCTTTCATACAGTATCTTTCCTGATTGTTAGTAATGAAAATAAAGAGCTCTTTGTCCTTAGTCCTCTTGTTCAATTTTCTTTATCTGGTAATAGTTAATGTCTGTTATGTAAATCAGGTGTTGTATATGATCCGTATGAATTGCTGTATAATTTTCCAAGTTTTTTTTTTTAATTTGTTGGAAGAGAGCTTTGTTTCGTGTATGGATGATTGCTTTCATTTGAGATAGCCAAAAAGCATTGCAGAGATCAAAAGGAAAAAAACCTGCTATGAATCCTGAAAGCACTTTAGAAAGGGCTTTTCTGCTCTTCGCTCATTCAGGATAAAGTTTATGAACTTCATCTGTCTCATCATGCATTGCATGGTCCACAGTGTGAGAGAAAAGAATGCTTTTTTGTTTCTCCTGCAGTTATTCATTTTTGTCTTTTTAAATACTTGATTACTGCAAGCTGCTTCTCCTTGTCCTTTTCAAGTCAAGATTGGTTCCCTGAAGTACATTTGAACACTACTGTTAATGTTCTCACCTGTCACTAAGGTATATTCTTCTTTCTAGTGTTGTCATCTCACCCTTGTATTATGTCCAAACTTGTTCCATCACTGAATCTCATTTATGACTTTTACTACGTGCTTTTTTCCTTTGTCAGTCAGCAGAGCCATGAATTTCTTTCTTCAGTTAGCTAGGGAATGCCAGTGCACTTCTCATGTTCTTGTCTCTTTTAGCTTATATAGCTTACTTTGGCTATAAGCTAAACTTCTTACCAAGCTAGGTAGAGCATTTCTCTTTCAAAAGAGAGAGAAAGAATCAACTACTCTATTCAAGAAATAATTCTTAGTCATTGTCCCTGTTTTAATATTTTGTTGGACAGGATCTGGGATGTAGACAAGTATTTGTTTTAAAATCTACTGGAGAAAAGCAGTATGCAAAGCAAGGGGGAATCAAAGCAGGTTAGCTCTTTTATGTGTTTCATCAGTGTTGAGTATGAAGAATTAAGGAATCCAATAAAATGCATCAAGGTGTCCTTAAAGAGCACAGCTGAATTAAAATGAGTATATTTAAGGTGGATGCTAAAATATTTTTCTTATGGGTTCCAGTTGTTGTCCATGATTTTATTAAAGGCCAAGAAAGCAAGCATCAGAGCTTTATGTTTTCAAAAGAAAAAACAAAAACAATAACAACAAAAAATACTCTAGTGATACCTAGGTGTATTATTGCTAGAGAGATGGGGAGAAAGGCATGGAAAGGATGGGGCATTTGGACACTAGAAAAATCTTGACAAAAAAAAGCCTGCCTCTGTTCCCTCTTCCCTGCCTTGCTCACCGCTAGTGTTTTCCTTCATTGAAATATTTGCTTAGGTGAATTAACAGGAAAGCTTTTTTCCCTTTAATATGAAATAGCTCCCAAGAATATGACTTGGCTTTGCATACAAAAAGATTTTCAAGTTTATGGAGATATTTCAAGGTAA